TATTTCGACTCATTTTTCTGATTTATTTTTATATCATTCCAGAATTGTTCACTTTTCAAGTTAAAAAAATGCCAACGTTTTTGAAATTTGAAGTACTTTTGCATTTTTTCCTGATTTTTGGGGCACAAATATTAATAGTTTGAGAGATACTATCAGGTATCAGGCAGTTGATATTCCAAGCCACCAGTCCCTATGCAGGGTGCAAATGCAGCCATGTAAGTACAGTGAGATCAGGGCAGAGCTACATCACTATATTAACAATGAGAAAAATAAAAGTTTCAGGGAGGCTGACATTTAAGAGTAGTGTTTGCTAGTTTACATCTCCTCAGTTTGTGTCTTTGGCCAAGTGTAAGGATGCTTACACACATGCGGATTTATTCAAGTGCACAGCTAGATGGAGACAGTGAAAATGTTATTCCTTCAATTTCTGAGAAAGTTTCTTGGGAAGTAAAATGATTGTTCGAGAAGAAAATCAAATGTCCTAGTTTCGCTGTCATGTCCAACTTATGCCAGGTGAACACAGTGTGGGGGCTCTCGGATTCTTTCACTGGCCGAACATGAAAGTTAGGATAGCCTCACAGCTGTTCTAAACAGCACGTTCCTAGAAATCTAGTGCTCTTCTGCCAGTTGGGGATTCACAGAGTGCATTGCTCTATGGCCACTCCTCCTGCCCATCCCAGATATGCTCCTGGTACCTGAAGCCAAGAGAGAAGGAGGCATAGGAGCCAGAGGCATCTGCAGTTTGGGACTTGCATGAGGTTTGCACTCACTTTGTGTAGTAAGAGAGTAGGGTAGAACTGAGAATCCAGCCCAGTCATTAGAGGCCAAATTCACAACTAGTGTCATAGGAAATGCAACTCCCTTGATGGAAATTTCCCATGGAAGGTGGATGGCTTCTTTATACCAAACTGCTTTACATGGCTGTTTTATGCTACACTCTCTTTATTACAGTCTCCTTTAAATGGCTGCTTCATAGCACAGTCTCCTGTTGTCAGATACACCCCCACCTTTTGCTTTCTCAGCCTTAGAAAAACGATAGGTAACTACATTAAAATGATACACTACTGTGCCATTTATACTCCCTTGCAAATTACATTAGCATTTAAGTAAGCTCTGAATTTGGCCCAATGAGTCCTACTAAAAGTGACAATTTTATTACAGCTCTCTGGAGCCTGGCAAACTTTAATTTCAATAGCAGCATGTGCTCTTTGGCAGTCTTTGTGACTCACTGAAGGAACAATTGTATGGTACTTGATTCACATAAAATGACTAGATTATGAATTGCACCATCAAATATTAGATTTCCTTTGCTCAAACAAGCTGGTATCTTTCTAAACTTCAAAGTGAGCCATTCACAAAAACTCCCCTCATTCACAATACATTGAAGTTACTTGTAATCTTAAAAAAAAAAAAAAAAAAGCTACCACCTCATCCGGCTGAACTATTATACAGGACATGCTTTTAATATTCCCCTGTGATCAACAGAGCCATGAGCTCAGCAACTGTGTTTTCTTTTTTGGCTAGAGAAGAAGAAGAAGAATTCCTTTTGTTACATAGTTAAACTGACAGTAAAGCACTAAATTCTAGTTTAACCACTTGAAAGACAGGGAATGATTAGAAAAGCAGTAATGAAAAGGGTGACAGATCCCCTCATATGAAAAAAGGAGATGAGGAATAGAATTTTGCATGTTCCTGTGTACTGAACAGAGGTGGCATACTACTCAGCTCAGTAGAGAAAAATCCCATAACAAGGAGGTTGTTCTATCGGACTCCTTTTACAGCAACGAGGCCGCCCGAAAACAACATGGTGAAGAGCTGTGGAAGCTGAGCTGAAAAACCTGGGGCACAGCTGGGGAACCATTGAAAGACTTGCCAGAAACAGACAGGAGTAGAGGAGCTTCGTCACTGCCCTAAATGCCAGAGGCGTAATAGGAACATTGATGATGATGTTGACAGCAACACCGCAATATAAACAACGCACTGCAACTTCTTCTCAGCATCACCACCTGAAAAACCTTTTGCAATGAATAAGTAACAAGAGCTTGTTTAAACTGCTTTAAAGCAATATGAATATCCAAATGTGATGCAGTCTGAAACACACAAACCACAAAGGCTGGGATTATCAAAGGAGCCTTAGGGAGTTGGAGTTCCAGCTGCAATGTTTGGAAATTAATACAACCCTAGACTACATTTGGGATTAGAGACTCACTCTAAACCTCAAATCCAAATATCCTCAAACCTTGGGCAAGTTTGAATCCCAGTCCCAACTTTGCAGCCTTTGCTCATGCCTAATTCGAATATTGTGTTACCTTCCCTTGGTGTGATGTGCCTTAAACCTTAACCTCGCATTGGCCCCCCTCTTTAATAAATGCTTTACAATGATGAGCTCCAATATCACTTACCCGCACATTTTCTGATTCAACGTATTGGGATGTAAGGATTGCATAAGTGTACTAGGGCAGTCCTACTCTAGTCTATTCAGATTCTCATACCCCAGCAACCACTATGGTATCGCAATGCCCTAAAATTTCTATTCTTAAAATGTTGAAACATAAACCTCTGCCAGGCTAGAGAACAAAATTGATTTAATTTCTGGTATTAAAAGCTTCTACACTGACAGTAACCAAAGTATATATTTTAGTATAATACCAGATTCTTAGCTGTACACAATAGTGATACCTCACTGTTATAAATAGGAAAGGATTGTTTTATAAAGAGCATATCTCAGTTTTTTGTTTGTGTTATATGGGACAACTAGTACTGTGTGTCCAACTCTCTTTGTTTCCTGGTAAATATAGGATTTTTTTTTTCTAAAAGAAGTTTAAAGATTGGAAATTCTCAAGATTGCTGTTCTGGATAATTTAGGTCTCATTTCATTTCTGGTTGGGGATTCAATACAGTCAACTGATAGGGTGCAGAGAAGAAGCCAATACCTACTTCAACTGATTGGGTAACTATTTAAAAAAAAAAAAAAAAGAATGACAAGGTCCACTCTTCCTCAACCCTGGCAGATCCAGAATTAGGATATTATTATCCTATGATTCTCTGAAAATAATTTCCTGGTTTTTACTATGAGTGCACTGAGATAATTAGTGCATACTTCATGTTAACTGGTTAGTTCTTTTGTACCTTTTGGTCTGTTGTTCAAGCCTGCCTCCAGTTTTCCACGTATGGGACCGTTTCGAGAAGATTGTGAACTGTTTGTTCTGCTTGGCTAGCCATGCTGTAGCGATGACCATTTTTTAAATTAACCTCTACAAGAACAGCCATCAACTTAGAGAGTGTTGATCTGCTGACCCCCTCCACCCTCACTCTACGGATGGATGGATGGGCCCACTCTCAATCTGACACCAAATCAGGTCTCGGAGGGAAGAGACTCAAATGGTCAAAAATGAGCCTGTGCATTCTCCTCATTCTTTGACTGCAAGTTCAACATGCCTCTTAAAACCTCCAATCCTGAAGCTGATGGGAGCTTTGGGTATACAAAGAATGCAGGATCAGCTCCAAAGTTTCTTAGCAAAGAGGGATAAGTTACAGTAATGTCATACCAGCCCTGTAATCAGCACAGATGGATCTGACACTGGCCATTTGGACTTGGTAATAAGTCCCAACAAGTTATTTGGAATGACTCAGACACCGCATTTTCCTGGTCAAGTCCTGCTGCATTCCTCCCTCCCACACATATTCCCTACAGGCTGCACTTTTTCTTATGAACATTAATATTTTTAAATTACTACCTCATTCAAAAGCCCATTGCTTGACAAAACTATTTCCATTATCAGCATCTTATTTTAATCACAAATTAAGGGCCCTATACTGAAAATCTTTTTTCCACATGGTAATGAAACTCTGTGTGGCAGATAAGGAAATGTCCACTGGCTGGAAGTAGTACCAGGGGCCTTATCCTGTCTGCAGATACTAGAGGGAATCTCACACACACACACACACACACACACAGAGTGCTCCCCCACCCCAATCCCACAAACACACCCATTAACTTTACTATTGTGGGACTACTCACAATGGTAAAGTTAAGCATGTGCTTAAGTGTTTACAGGATTAGGATCAAAGCAAGTATATTTTAATGTAATGAGTCCTTACTCCCAAGAGTACGTCTTCAGGTGATAGTCCTATATTAATTTTAAATATATAGTTTAAACAGTTCTCTCTCTTTCTGTGCAATGCATTCAGAAAAGGAACTGAATGTGCATGTACTACAGTATTAAAAGAAAAGGCATGGGCTTTAATTAAAAAACAAAAGACCCAATCCTGCAAACTCTTAGGATGTACATTTGAGATATCTTTACTTAAGGGCATAGTCCTTTGAACTGAGTACAGGCCATTTGTGTGACAGTCTATTGGATGGGGCCCTACTAATTCAAACTCACACGTGCATTTTAATTCCCTAGACAAGCAAAGAGATGGAACTATACATAAAGTAACTACAGGAATATACACCTACAATCTGCTTGAGGAGGAAAATGGAGATTAAGTTTTGTTAAATACAGAGCGTGTTAAGTAAGTTTTAATTGTCATTTTAAGTGATGACCTAAAGCAGGTACAATGATTTGTTCAGACAAGATGGATCCAAATTCATACCACCATAGGCAGCAGAAGAGAGGCAGGCCTTGCTGACCCATGCTTGGTTTATCTGCATTTCTCTGACTCTCCCAAATAATAAATATAAATCATGGTAATACATTTCATATTATCTTGTATGTGCACTGTGGACCTATTCATCTGATTTTTCTCCCATACAGATAAAAAACAAAATTCATAAACTGATATGCACTGTAAAAGTCATAATCTCTCTTGGTCTTTTCTACAAAATTCAGGTTATAATTCGTGGGTTCAGTATGGCTGGAATCATTTGTTAAACATAAAGCACTAATCAATCCCGTCAACCATACTCTCTCCTCAAATATTTCTGATTTAAAAGGAATCCTCAGTTACACTTGCTTGTCTCATTCTCTTTATTCTCTCTTCTGTGTCTTTGTCAGGTTAGAATACCTGAAGCCAGGAAGGACAGACAATGCCCAATACAAAGTTATTGACTGTGGAATAGGCAGCTGGGGTTGACTGATACATCTGCAACTGCTATGATGTGTTTTCCTCCCCTATGGCAGGGGAGTATTTCAAAGAATCACCTGCCACCAAGGATGCAGGCTCTCCAGCCCAGCAGTTCTCGGTATGCTGTGATTGTACTGTTATTTTAAAGGAATTTCCTAAAGAACAACATATACCAAGAGGCAAGAAAACAAAATGTAATAGTTTTCTTTCCTTTCTTTCTTCTAGAGCATCTCCTGCAGCTCCAATGTATTCTGAAGTACCGTGATGTCACAAAAACTAAAAACATGCCTCTGTGTTCATACGAAGTGTATCCAATCTCAGAGGATTAGTAATTAAAAAGGGCGGGGAGACATCCTTCCAGAATGACTTCAAGAAAACTTGGCCAATCATTCAGCAGAGTAACAACCATTATCTTGGGCAACACCAGGAAATGAACATGGAGTCTCTACCGCTTGAACTGAAGGATGAAGTCTCTTAGCTGGTAGCTACAGTAGACTTATATCTTCTGTAAATCAGGAAGAGAGGGGGGTGCCCAATACAAACTGAACTATAGGTTCTAGAAATTCTCCTAAAAACGATAGAAAAAGATTGATATTAACACTAAGGAGCAAACAGACTAGTGCCTCATAACCCATCTGAAAGAGAATAATTATTTATGGTCTCTTGTCTCTATTGTATCTTAATCTATTTACAATGTAACCTCTTTGGGGCAGGGACTGTCTTTTCGACTTGTGTGTGCAGAGCACCTAGCACAGGGGTCGGCAACCTTTCAGAAATGGTGTGCCAAATCTTCATTTATTCACTGTAATTTAAGGTTTCGCATGCCAGTAATACATTTTACATATACAGGGGCCTGGAGACAGAACCCCAGCCTGGCAGCGGGCTGAGCGGGGCCGCTGCCGATCTGGGATTCTGTCCACCAGCCCCTGCCATCTGGGGTCCCAGCAGCCAGCCCCACTCAGCCTGCTGCTGGCCCAGGGTTATGTCCATCCAGGCCGGCAGTGGGCTGAGCGGGGCCAGTGGCTGGGACCCCAGGCTGGCAGCAGAGTGCCACTGTAAATCAGCTCACATGCCATATGTTGCCAACCCCTGACCTAGCACAAAGGGGCTATATACAATGATATATACAATGTACAATATTAATTGTAAACTGAATTTCCCAAAGCATTCACTGTGACTTATAATAAATAGTCTGATGCACCAGGCAGCCTTCAAATTAAATAGAGACAATGAAAGCTATTTTAAACCTAATCCAAGCATGCAGTAGATGTGGTTAGAGACATAAACCAATTTCTGTATGTTTAGCTCAATTTTCAGGTGCCAGTAGCAAAATCCACTGTTCTCAGAAAGTCTACCAGTCTTCTATATTCTTGTTTTTGTCTCTTGTCTATATTCTTGTCAGCCTTGTATGCATAAGCTCAGCAATGAAAGACTGCTCTATTCCTTTCTTGCTATCTCCTAGCCTCTTGATCCAAATACTGCCAAACAGGCTCAGGATTGCCCTTCATGCTTGAAGCAATCAGACATACAAGCTGCTGTTATCGTAGCTACAACTCTCCAAATGGCATTTATCCTTCCACATTCCAGAGAGTAACCACAAAGCTTCAACAACAACAGAAATCTCTGGTAGGGCTGAGCAAAATAAATAAAAAAAATTCCAAGCCAGGCCATTGGATTCTTCTGAACTAAGAGAATCTATGTATAAATTCAGTGTTGTTTTTGTGGCATAAAGTGATGACATTTGAATTCTGACTTCATCATGTCACAGTGCCAGATGAGAAGAGACCACAATCCAGAGCTTGGATGAAAGGACAGGGCATATTCCTTAAGAAGCAGTTAGCCAAGAAGAACCTTTTCTTCTGGGAACCCAACCTGAGTGTCAGCCAGTTCAGCACACAGTTGGCTTGTTTAATCTGTCTTCAGATCATGGAGTCCACTGGGCTGGCATGCTGATGTAAATGTCATTTACACTTTGCATCATCATGGCAGCTAGAAACCAAGCCTTTTGAGGCCCATCCCACCCCGCTAGCCATCCTAAAACAACTGCAGATTCCTCACCTAGATACATCAATGTTAAGTCAATTTATATTTTGAGGTGAGCAAGAGCCCTTTTGGCTTCTGTCTTCATTTCTTTGAGAACTCTCCTAACAGAATAAGAACACTAAGCACTCCCACCTCAGACCCCAGAAAGAATCAATATGTGGGTTTGTTTAATGCAGAAGATGGAAAAAAAGAACAAAGCTAAAGTGTGTTTTTTATTTCTACTGAGAGATAAACTAAATGCACTCACTGTGCCTTGGAAAGGAGATTGCCACACCGATGGCTCAGCCCTGCCCGGTTATGCAGCATGCCACCTTTCTCAACAGTTCCTCATTGCATGTACATGCATAAGTGCCGTAATTTGTCAAAGGGCAGAATCAAGCTTGTATTCTAAATCCAAGCTTGTATTCTAAATCCACTCCATGAGTGAAATTGCTGCCCTTTCTCTGATCAATACTTGTTGTGCCTAGGACAAGATGAGTTGGAGAGTATGAAAACAACTAGATCAGTAAGGAGCAAGGGCTGTGAAAATACAGATGATGATATTCTTGCATAGATTTATTTAACTTTCACATTCACTCTCTCTCTACCACATTCAAAGACATCATTTAAGTGCTTTTTGCTTTAAAGGAGAGAAAGAAGAAGAAAAATAACTCATGCCATAAACATGCAGTAGATTTAGTGTTTTATTGCCGGCTTTAGCAGAGGGAGAAGCTGATTTGTGAGGAGAAAGTCTTCTGAAAGCACAAATCTCTTTAATAGTAGCAAGGGAATATGAAAATGTTGGACAAATTAGATAAATTACATGTTCTCTTTTTCAGTTTTCCCATGGTGCAATGTCCCTTTTTATAAATAATACAGGTGTCTGATTTTCTATTAAACACGGTCTCCCCTGAGTTTCTGCACCTGGAGGGCCTCCAAAATCACAGATCTGGCTGGGCCAGGCAAGAAGTGAGAAGAGCCACTGACACAGCACGTTTCCCATTCCACCAACCCTGAGAATTCCCTTTTGTGGGTTTCCAGCTCCAGAGATGAGAAGAGGCCCCATTTGAATGGTGTCTGAGTACTCCCCCAAACACAGACTGCTGCAAACAGACTGGGTCTGATTTTAGGAATACCCCAAAATTACTGATTAAGACAGTGAGAGCTGTGGGGGCTCAGCTCCTTTGAAAATAAGGCCCAGCCACTGCAGTAACCACAGGCTTCCCTCTGTTAAGAGCTCTATGTAAACAGCTACACCCAGGAAGAAATTTGTATCATCAAAAATTTTGTTGGACATATAAAACCCAGAAATGATTCTACATATTCCTGAATGCCAACTATGGGCATTTTATCTAGTAACTAACTATTTACATGTATATAGGTTCTATTACAGAGCACTCCTATAACAACTTTCTGTGCCTCCTGGATATGCCTACTGAAGGGGGCTCAGGACACAACTAGACTGTGGAATCCCCCAGCAAGAAAGGTCTCTGGGGAGCAGTGGTGAAAGTAAGCCAGTACGGTGTACCGCTAAGAAAGTGCAGCAGCGTACCGGTAAGAGAGTGGCCAAAGCATTCAGTACCGGCTTACTTTCACCTCTGCTTGGCTGGATAACAGCTTAAACTCAGCTAATGTTCTGTCCCCGGTTCAACCTGCAAGATTAGGGGCCATTTCTGGCATCCTTGTTTATTTCACAGTTGTTGGTGTGACCAAGGGACAGTTTTTTTCTGCCCTGGATCGAATACACAAATAAAATCAGGGACTATTTCCAAGTTCAAGTCTATCCCTCCATCACTGCACCCCCTTTTTTTAAAAAATGGCTGGTATCGGGGGTCAAAACCCACACTCCAGGAGGATGGATGCAATGCCCAAACTGCTAGCAGATCCTCCTTGAAATGTTGCTCTTTAAAAAAATTGAGAACGTGGCGGGAAGATGTGTCATCGGGGCTTATTTTTGGCAAATGAATTTTGCTAAAGCAACGAAAAAATCACAAGGAAAGCAATTAGCCTTATAGACAAAACCACAAAGAGACTGGAGGAGAAAACTGGATAGTTAGGGAAATTATTGTGCCGCCTTTGAAAGGAAAAATAGTTTCCACCCTATTTAATTCAATATATAAACACCTGAAATGTCGTTAGAACATACAGGCGCGATCTCAGATCTCTTTCTGTTTTGTTTCAGTGCCCTGTCTCTCTCTGTAACTTGCAGGGTTGTGGGAGTTTTGTTTGTTTAGGTAGAAAAGATCCTCATTTTTAATGCAATTTTTAAATTCAGACAAAACAAAAAATAATGTTTCCATTTTAGGAACAAAGCAAAACAAACAAACCCAGATTTCTGCCATTTTAAAGTTGCTAGCTAATGTCGGTCTTTCTAGATTTTAATCCGGAGGCTGAAATTGACAAAATTTTCTCAAAGTATCTTGTATATTTCATGAAGGCTATTTCTAGTTGTCCTTCATTCACTTCTCTCCTTCACCCTACTAGCCACGCATTGGTGTGCCCCTGTGCCCTTTTATGCTCCTGGGAAATTAGAACAATCCTTGAGATCTGTTCACTTGCTGGGAAATAGGGCAGGTCTGGGGCACTGGAGGGCATAGTGCAGCCCCTTGCCCCTGGCTGGCTGTGGTTTGCCTCGGTTACTCCTTGGCGGACCCAGCCCAGCATCGAGTGCAGCGGCAGCTGCTGGCTCTCTGCAGGCAGCAACCGGCGAGGGCTGGTTGCTGGTGTGGCTTCTGGTCAGTGGCAGCTGCATTGTGACTTACTGTCCTTGTGCAAGCAGCCACCCATTCCAACAGCCAGGTGCATTCTCCAGCCATAAAGCCCGGGACTCTGGAGTGGGGAGGGTGCCGGCCTGGCATCCCTTTGAGGGGTGGGGGGAATGTTTCCATGGCTAACACCTCGGGAACTTCTGCAAGAGGCAAGGTCTGGCTGTGCGCTAGTGCGTCTGTGGGCACCCAGCTTTCGGGTTGCTGCTTAATGGTGTCCTGCTCCGGGGGGCTGTGGGTGTTACAGTGAAAAGCTATCCTTTTTGAGAGATCTATCCATATTGTATGTATATATATACACACCTGCTCTCTCTCTGTGTGTGTGTGTGTGTGTGTGTGTGTGTGTGTGCGTGTGGAGATCTGTCAAGCAAGAAGATTTTGTTTTCACAGGAAGATGTTCACGTGGTTGTTCCGAACGTTAGCTTTTGAGTGCTATACTGCCATAATGGTAACCATGCTTGCTTCTTATTGGTCAAGTCTGTCTTGTCAGGCACGCAATTTAGGTGAGAAAAAAAAATGCCACCTAAGAATATACATGTTCAACAGACCTAATGGTTAAGTTTAAATGTAAAAGTGAGGAAATGGGGATTGTCAGTCAAAAAGAACAGCAACAAATGAAGAAGCTGAAAGTCATCTACAGGGAAAAAACACTGATACTTTTACACCTTTGTCATGTGGTCACCTGCAGCCACCACAAAGAGAGGAGACAAATGAAACTACTGAATTGCCAGGTAAGAAAACTAGGACTCAACCACCTTACCCTGCTGTATGGTTAAAAATGCAATTTGAGGAGTTCAAAAATAAAAGCTACTGGCCTTTTGCTTTGGGTGGTAAACTTGGGTGCACAGTACGTCATGATGTTTCTGATTTGAAGCTGCATTCTGCAAGAAGGGTGAACATCTCTCTAAACTGGGCCTCTTGTGAAATATCCTCGTATGGAAAGAATAAAGAGACAGAGCTGTCCTCCCTTTGCAAAAAAATAAATGAAGATAAGAAATCGGCAGCTCACATGGAAGCTGAAAAAATTCAAGCCATGGCTAAAAAAGAAACTCTTCTTAATCTGAATGCTAAAAGTAAAGAAGAGGCATTTGAAACTACTGCTCGTGTATTTTGTACAG